AAGCCACCTCCTTCATGCTCAAGCACTGGGTGAAGAGGCTGAGGGAGGTTCACAACCGGATTGTTTGAGCATGAAGGAGGTGGCTTTGCTTGTACGTTGCTTTGCAGTTGGGAGATACGGGCTTCGACCTCTAGGCGTTAAGGGGGGGTCTTTCCTGACGACGTTTATTCCTGTGCTTCGAACTCCAGGTATCTTACTCTCTTGAATTGCACGCAGGCGTTCTGGCATTTTGATGTCCGAGACACTGGGACTGAAAGGAGTGAAGGGCAGATCGCTTCTGCTTACGCGGGCGAGCAGATACGGTCAACACGAGGTTGAGACGAGGCATGAGTTATTGTATTGGGTTGATCTTGGACTGGGATCTACTTTTTTGCGTCCTACGGGATGATGCTGTATGTTACTGTTTAAGGCTGCCGCAACAGGCAGGCGAACCACAAGTCACACTAGACACTTGATGAGATGTCAGAAAACTTCATATACCCAACAACAGAGAGACTACTTATCAAACTCGAGCATATTATTTGCAAATCTAGAGATATTGATCATGTCAACAAGCGACCTGAGCCGGAGAGAACGGAAAGGGTTCTGGCATACTTGCGCGCCACCTCACAGCCGGTGAACAACAAGGGTGTGGAGTGAAGTTTTTGCGATACATTCACTAAAGAAAAGCCTGAGGCAAGATTGCGACTATCATTGTCTTTCATGTTTGAGTTTCTGAATTCAGTTGAGGCTATCTACCTAAGATCAAACGCAGGCCGACCAGTGCTCGAACTCCTCAAAAATAGAGATGAATACCATTCAATCCCCCGCAAGCACGGTTGGTAGCGGGCCGCCGTTTCGCGAACGTATTGGCGCAAGAGGTGCTGTTCCGGTTCAAAGGAGATTATACATTTGCGGTAGTGGAGGGGAGAAAAGGACGAACGCCTATGAACAGCAAGAAGGGCGGATACATGATCCATCCGCTCGGCAACTATCAGGTGTCATACAGCCGCTCAACCTATTGCTTCTTGCCCTTCGCCTTGTAGAAAAATCTGATAGATAAGCATTAGAATTGGGCGATTTCAACGATGTAAATCGGGCAGTGGGAGAAAAACAGCAAAACATACCCTGCGAAGACGCTCTCGCCGAGACCAACGACGCCCAGGATGCCCAGTCCCAGGCCGACGCTCTGCCAGGTCAGGCGACCACGCTCGTACAGACCCCAAGCCTTGAATCCCAGGAATGCGCTCAGTCCCACGACAGCAGCCAGGTTTGTAGCGACCAGAGCGCTGCTCTGGTTGTCGCTGAGGGAGGCGAGCTTCTGGGTGATCCAGTTGTCGGCCTTGCGGGCCTTGGCAGCAGCCTTGTCCTTGGCCTCCTTTGCTCGCTTCTTGGCCTCCTCCTCGCGCGACAGGCGATCAGCCTGGGTCTCGGTCTGGATCTCCTGCTCCAGGAAGTCGGAGGGGACGGTGCGGACAGAGGGGGCATCTACGTCGACCAGAGAGCTGGTGGAGGCAGACTCGGTGGACACGATCTCGGGGGGCTGCGGGGCTGCGGCCTTGGGGAAGATGTCAGTTCTTCATTGTCTTTCTTAATGCCTGCATAAGGAGCGTGCAAGCGGGCAAACATGATCAAAGCCGAGCTCGCCTGGTTTTGCCAGCTGGGAAAGGGACTCCGGATGTAAAGGGGGTTGAAGGAACAACGGCAGGCCTCGATGCGACAATGAAGATTGCTTACCTCCTCGGGGGTCTGCTTGGGGCCCTTGGCTGCAATCTCAGCGTACGACACTGTTGAGGAGATCCAATCAGTACTCCGTGCGTCTATCTTGGGTGTGGTCATGCGACTGGACAGGAGGACCTACTGTTGGCCGGATTGAATTGTGCTGGACTGCGCAAAGGAGTGTAAGGCAGCTGGGGGGTCGATGGCAGCTAGCTATAGCTCTGACAGCTTGCTCTGATGCAGATGCGACGAGAGTCGGAGGATGTGTTGAATGTCAGATGATGGATGGATGAATGGATGGACAGATGGATGGTGTTTCGGGGAAGCAGGTTGCATGTGAAGGGCAAAACCGGGCAGGCTGGTAGTAGGTGCTGGCTGGCGTGATTCGATGGGGGGCCCCCTTCCATTCGACAGAGTGAGTGGTGACGGCACTGCCTCACTGGTGCTCTCCGCTGTAAAAAGAGAGCTTCCCAGGACCTCCTCTCCCCTTGTCACCAATGACGTGAGGCCCCCACTTCCGTTGCTAGCATTCTTCTTATGCGCCTGCACAACCTTGAGGCAAGCAATTTGGACGCCGGTGCTGCTTTCGGATTAACCACCACCTAGGAACAAGGCCAATCAGAGCACAAGCAAAAAAAACCCTCCTCAACATTGAAACTTGAGGTCAGTATCGTAGACCTGCACTACCTGCTTTGATACACACGTATTGCTATGTAATGAATCTATGCTTCAGGAACCGAGAATGATATATGCGACTTCTGCCTGATTGACTGACTACCTCAAGGACCATTCGTACGTCTTGGTTCGGTACCTAGGTATTTCCATGTAAGCCATTAGAGTAACAAGGGCAGGTCACGGCACGCCAGAATGTTAGGTGTATGATTCAAATTGTTGTTTTCATAATACATTATGTACATATGATGGTGCACTTGCTACCGTGATGGCCACAGCAAGGGGCCCTGTCTAATTCTATGCCCGCCGCCCGTAGATGTTGTACATTTTTTACACCAGCATTCATTGGAGTGGGGAGGGTCTCGTTCTTCTTCTTACTCCGACTCGTCCTTCTTCTTGTCGTTCGCAGCCGTGGCGTCGAACGCCTTCTTCGGGACATTGTGCTCTGAAGCTGCGATCCTCTTCTGCTCAGCTGCTGCTGCGGGTTGCTCGGAGCTGGGCTGCGGCGCGTCGACCTTGGATTGGGCAGTCTCCGGGGTCTGGTCTCGATCGGCCACCGCCGGGAGATTAGTGCTTCCTGCGGCCGATACGCCCTCGATAGTCGGGGCTGGCGCATCTGCCTCCTCGTCCTCGTCGGCTAGCTCAGAGCCATATATCTCGGGATACTTTCGGAAGCAGTCTTGCATACCCCTGCGCACATAAACGTCAGCGATCAGTCGCCCTCAACTCCCTGATCAGTGCGACAGGCATGAGGTGCACACTCACTGGAACTTGTCAATGCAATCCATGCCCTTGGGCTCCTCGTTGGAGTAGACAAAGCAGCTGAAGGCGGTCTTGAACTCCTCTCCGCAAGGCCCGTGGGCCATTCCTCCGAGACAGGGGCAGTCCCAGTTGATCTCGCCCGTCTCCGGGTTGAAGGCGCCCTGCTGACCTGCTTCCTCCTCCAGCGCGCCCGCTGACTCGGCGCCAGGGCCGGGCGCGGGAGAAGTCGTGGGCGCCGCAACTACAGCGCTAGCTACATCATCTGGTGGTGACGAGGTGCCAGACTGCTTGAGGGACTGGCGCGCATTGGCATCGGCCTGCTTTCGCTTCTCTTCGATGACGACATCGACGGTAGGGAGATCGGAGTCGGAGAACTGGGGCGGCGCAGGGCCTGTGCGAGCTGTGGAGGAGGCATTCGTGAGTGACTACCAAACAAGGAGGGCATCAATGAATGGGAGAGAGGGACATGGATACTTACGGGTCACCTCGTCAGCGAATATGGGGCTGGTGTTATACCAGTAGACGGCAGCAACGGCAAGACCCCATCTGACTGCTGAGTTCTTCCAGGTGTGCCTCTTGTCGGCCGGGGCTGTGGTCAGCAAGCGGCGAGGGCTGGAGGTGAGGGCCGGCTGCCGGAGCGGCCGCAGGGCCCGGGGAGACGACCGGATGGCGGCGCGAAACATGGCGGAAGGCAGGATTTAAGGGGGAGGATAGTGAACGGCAAAGAGACGAAAAGAAGGGAAGATCCGGAAGGGAAGGGTGCTCGAAGTTCAAAGGCGTTCACACTCCGACCATGACAAGATCCTTACGCGGAGACACAGTGAAAGATGGTGTTGGCGTTGGCGGAAGCAAGGTGATTGATAATCCACCCAGCGGCCCGGGGCAAAAATTCTGGCATGGGCTGGGCTGGCTGGCCCCGGTGCGATTCCCTGCATGCTGGCGAGGCAGGGGCCACCTCAGTATTGATATGGTACTGTACTGTACACTACCCTAAGAGATAGATTCTTATCAAAACCCACGTAGTTACATCTAGCGAGGTAAATAAAATTAAAATGAATAAAAAAGTATACAGAGATTGTAGGTTTACAAGCATGCCAATCACATATATTGAGTTGACTGGCCTTTTCACGCGCAATTGACTCGCATTCGATGTGGCCGCAAACTTTGAGGCTCTTCAAGGGTTGACCAACCCACTGGTAAAAGAGTCGGTGTCCGTGCACAGTACCTACTAGGGAGGTGCTGGCACCGTCCTGTCACACTACCTAGGTACCTACATACACACATACATACACATACTAGGTACATGGTCTGACTGATAGCCGATCAGGATGATTCAGTACGGACTCAGTCCTTGAACACCTTTTTTGGTGCAAAGCAGGTTACTCTCGTGTCTTTGTCTACACCGGACCAGCGGGCTCTCACCGCGATGGTCACGGCCAATGCCAATTCCAGCGGTGGTGGTGGTGCTGCTGCAGGTGTCATCGAATGGCATCCCGCCGGCATCTTGCAGGACCATCCTGCTACCACACTCCACGATCCTGCTCATGACAGCAGCCCCTTCGCCCTCGTTATCCTCAACCAGCCACTCAGGGAGATTCGGACACTAGAAAGGCTCTGGAAGAATTGTGCGACGCTTGACTCTGTAATCCTAACTTCTGAGCTGTCCAATACTAACTTGAAACCTTCCGCTAGCTTTTTTCCACGTCGCCGCAGATGGTGGTGCGAACAGATTATACGAAGCCGGCCAAGCTGGATCTCCTGGCTCATCGTCATTTGTACTTCTCAAACCGCCCCATCCTCAATCCATGTTGTATCTCTGATGCTGATAGCTCTTGTAGGATGACCTGGATGTCATCATCGGCGACCTGGACTCGCTAGATGACCATGTCCGGCAATATTATGCTTCGGATGGCAGGCGAACAGAGATCAAGCATATCGCAGATCAGTATTCTACCGATTTCGCAAAGGCCGTAGCCCATATCCGCTCCACTCAGCCACGTCCTGTCGACATTGTCGCAATGGGCGGGCTCGGCGGCCGGGTCGACCAGGGCCTGAGCCAGCTTCATCACCTATACCTCTTCCAGGAGGATCCCCACTACATCCAGGGCAGGATGTTCCTCCTGTCCGGGGAGTCACTCACGTTCCTCCTCAAAAAGGGTATGCACAGGATACATGTCCGCAACGGCCGCGAGGAGGTCTTTGGCAAGTATGTCGGCATCATCCCCGTCAAAGAGCCGAGTATCATCTCGACTAAGGGGCTCGAGTGGGACGTGACCGACTGGAAGACGGAGTTTGGCGGACTGATCAGCACAAGCAACCACGTGCTTCCAGAGACGGAGGTGGTGGAGATCAAAACTGCGACGGACGTGCTTTTCACCATTGCATTGAAGCAATCATAGACGGGCCCAGCTCACGGATGCGACTGGCCATGGGTTGGCAACTATAGAGAGGGTGAAAGACGGGCGAAACAGGCGCATGTCGTGTACCTTTACGCGACTTCATGATTTTTGAATCATTTGATGAAACTATAGCCCTATCCCAATACAGAGATGAGCTCGCACATCTAATCAATGACAACATGGGAGTCAGGGTCCTCAATCTTTACCGGAACGCCTCGCTGGTATATGACAAAAACAACATCAAGTGAGCAACTTCGAGTGAGCGGCTCTTCCAACGCCAGAAAGCCTCGCTCCTGGGTGTTCAACTCATTCTTGCCTTGGCTCATCGCTCATCGGAGGAAATGCAGGCATAACCAGCAGAAACCGAAGAAGAAGATGACGCCTGCCCAGAATATCCATTTGTCCTCTCTCGTCCTCCTCTCGATCATCCGGATCGTGTCGCCCGAGACGCCCAGGGTGTTCGCAACCGAGTAGAGCCTCTTCTGCGTATTCTTCAGCATCTCCCTCTGCGATCCCAGGTCGCCCAGCACCGCCTGGCCGCGTGCAATGTACTCATCCAGCGCATTGTTGGTGCTGGCAAAGAAGTTCTGTTCTCGTAGCGCATGCGACTCCCTTGTCATGTCGTTGCTGCCCATCCCGACACCGCCGCCGCCACTCGTATTCCTGGCATGCCCATATCCACCGTAGCTGGTCGAACTCGACGAGGTCGCATTGGCGTACGGGTTTTCGGGGGTCGCGGTCACAAATGGCCGCCTCCCCAGCAGCTCATTGCGATTCTGGCTGTGCACCACATCGTCACGGGCGGACTTGAGCGCATCGAACTGGGTCCTGTAGTCGGCCAGCTCGGCGCGGAAGTTCTTGATACGCTCAAAAGCCTTTTCTTGCTTGGCAGGATTGAGCTCCTGCTTCGCGAGGGTGTTGTACTCGTCCAGAGTGCGGGCAAAGCCTGTCAGGCTGGCGGACAGGGCCCCGAGAGCAGCAGGAGTGAGAGCATTCGGGGCGGGCGAAGAGGATTCGGGAACGGCGACGGGGGCAGTGGAGAGGTTGGCCAGGTCTTTCCGTATGGCCGTGCTCTGCTTGAGCGCCGAGTTGAAGGTTGTGTTCTACGAGCATATGTCAGTGCTAGATCAACGAAAGGGGAAGACTCGCGCCGCACCATTGTTCACGATCACGCCTCAAGGGAGTTCCACCATCAAATAACAGGTAGTGAACTCCTCAGAATCAACGCGAACGGGGAGGAAGTTGAGAATAAGGCAAGCGTTGCCAACGTGGCCAGAAGTGTCTACTGATGCGCGTCTCGGCAACAAGGAAATTGTGTCTTCTAGCAGCCAGCTATAGGGCCGCACCCACACAGGCACGCGTATTATCCTTGGATGCAGGTAGGTGGCCAGGGCATGTGGCACTATGAATTTGGCGGGTCACCGCCTACCAAAACGAGGCTAGCGACTAATGGCTTTATTCGGGGTACCTAGGTATTGCACAGCAAATTCAAGGTGGAATACTGATATCCCTTGTGCAAAAGGTTTCGTCTCTGGACTACCTTGTAGATTCATTCCTTGTATGCCAGACATAAAGCTTTTTCTTTACATTCCTCGGCCTGAGAGACTCACTTACAGTTCCTGAACACAAATCTCTGGATCACGCTTCAAGATACTTGAGCTCCGGATTTGGTGTGGGTTAGCCCAGCACGATTCCAGCCGTAGATTTGGCTCTGGGTGTCATTAGTGAGTGGAGGCAGCGCTCTATCCGTTGTCTTTGAGTCGCAGAGTTCCATCGGGGTAGGGTCATATGCAGCTTGCTAATAGAAATTGAATGTAAGCATTGATCTTGAATTAGAAGAGCAATTCAAATGTGTCCAATTGCATCTCAGATTGAGGTATCAAGCCTTTTTTGCACAACATACACCACGCTTCAAATGAGTGGCCAGAGCATCGTCCCTTCTTGCGTCACTAATTGACTGCCACACATTACCCAACTACCTACCTGACCTACATAAATCCATGTTTTGTCTCTCGATGTCATCTAATCAAGAAGATCGATGACACTCACATCCCGGCCCCCAGGATCAGGATCTCTAACGCCGTGAACGTTGCTAACAAAGTTCAACGTGCAAGAGTCATAAGGCAACTGTGGATCCTACCTTGCCCGCCCGCCCGGCCCCGCCACTACACCATTCCGGCGGTGCAAATGCCGACGTCGGCACCGCTGGCGGAAACTAGAGCCATGCTGCCTGCTTCCCAACGGCGGCCATCAGGCCCATCACCCGCTTTGGGTGCCGTGCAGCCGACTCTCCTGCAGCTTTTTACTCCGTATCGCCTCCCATCAATAAAAATAACGCGAAGATAGCGGAGATGGTGTTTGTTTATTCCCGCGAGCTGTGCACGTTGGTGAATGGCCGGCGAGGGCAGACGTCTCTTCCATTTAAGTGATCGTCTTGGCGCCATCCTCACTCTGAATCCTCTACTACCTCTTCGTTCACTCACGCATTGCCTTTGCAGGCTATTAAACGACATGATAAGAATACTATAATACGCCGCCAAAGCTATAACAATGGGTGAACACCTCGGCGACGATGACGAGGAGAAGAATGGCCATTCCCAGTCACAATCACAATCATCCCAGAGCAACTCCCTTTTAATCGAAAGCCCCGCTGCTCTCGACCCTGACGAGGGAACCCACGGCCTGGCTCATGACAATGACAATGAAGACGAAGCCAATGGCGCCGGTCCGCCCGCAGAACCCCCGAGCGAGAGCCCGGTCGCTTCTCCCGGCGAACCCCGCGCTGGCGATGCACCGGACCCAGTGCCGCCGCCGTACTCCATCTTCACCCTCTGGGAGAAACGCTTCATCGTGCTGGGAGCGTCCTTGAGCGCTTTCTTCTCGCCGCTGACAGCCCAGATCTACCTCCCTGCCCTCAACGTCCTGGCCAAGGACTTCAACGTCTCCGCAAGCAAGATGAACCTGACAGTCACCACTTACATGGTCTTTCAAGGCATAACTCCCATGTTCGTGGGTGGCTTCGCAGACACCGCCGGCCGCCGCCCCGCCTACGTCTTCTGTTTCGTTGTATATATCGCCGCCAATATCGGGCTGGCACTGAGCAACAACTATGTGAGCCTGATCGTCGTCCGCTGCCTCCAATCCGCCGGTTCTGCGAGCACGGTCGCCCTATGTCAAGCTGTTGTTGCAGACACCATCACCAGCGCGGAAAGGGGCCAGTATATAGGAATCACCGTCCTGCCTATCGTGCTGGCGCCCTCGCTCGGCCCTGTACTGGGTGGTATCTTGTCTCAATATCTTGGCTGGAGAGCAATCTTTTGGTTCTTAACCATCCTCGCCGCCATTTGTTTGGTTCTGATGCTGCTCTTCTTCCCCGAGACATGTCGAGCAATTGTCGGCGACGGGTCGATACGGCCACACCCGGCTTATCGCACAGTATCTCAGCTACTCAAGGATAGATATCGCCGGCGGAAAGCGGAGAGGTCGGGCAATGCGCTTGACCTCCAACGTACTAACACCTCCGCCTCCCGAGCCTCTCGCCGCAAGCTAAAAGTCAAGTTTGGGAACCCGCTGAACTCTCTCTTCCTTCTCTTTGAGAAAGAGCTGGGCCTCCTACTCTCTTATAGCGCCATCGTCTTTGCTGGATTCTACGCCATTGCCACGGCCATGCCCAGTCAGTTCGCCGAGATTTATGGCTTCGATGACCTTAAGGTCGGTCTAATGTACCTGCCCATGGCTGGAGGGTCTCTTGTGGCAGCATTTATTGTCGGCCCGACCATGAACTGGAACTACCGACGACATGCAGCAAAGCTTGGTCTCCCCGTGGACAAGCGTCGACAGGAGGACCTAAGCAAATTTCCCATTGAACGCGCCCGCCTGGAGATTGGTCTGCCGCTGCTTGCTCTCGCCACCGGAGTCCTTCTCTCCTGGGGTTGGGCCCTTCAATATCGCGCAAGCGTAGCAGTTCCGTGTGTGTTGCTCTTTCTGATGGGAGTTGGAATGATTGGGTTCAACAACACATCGAATGTCCTCATCGTTGACATCTATCCTGGCAAAGCCGGAGCTGCAACCGCCTCTAACAACCTGAGTAGATGTCTACTCGGTGCAGTAGCCAGTGCTGTGATCGTGCCCATGATTAATGCTATGGGATCTGGCTGGGCCTTCACCCTGATCGGACTGTTATATCTGGTGTTTGCACCGGTTTTATTACTGATTATGAAGTACGGTATAAAATGGAGAAAGGAGATCCGAGATAAAGAGGAGCGCAGAATGGCAGCGAAGGCGGAGAAGAAGTCCAGACAACAGCCGCCACACGATGAGGTCGCTGACGACACAGACGAACCTGAGCCGAGTGCCAGGGTAGAGAAAGATTGAGATGGCAGGCAAGAGATGCACCACGCTGCGCATTGAAACGGTGATCAAGACTTTATGAATGACGTCTGGACAGTTTGCCTCATTACGTGCGAGTCGAAAAATATACTTTTATAGAGTCTATCAGTATCAATAATGTTATGAGTGAGCGCTGCGCCCGTCTATCATCACCATGCACCTCAAACCATAATGCAAACGTATGGATGTCTCACGCCGTCCAAGTTCAGAGGCAAGGAAAATATGCCCACTTCAGCTGTCATCCAGAACCTTTCCATAATTTTGCCCCCGAAGAGTCGGTGTATCGTCCGAAAATATGCAATTAAGAGTTACTTAATCAAAGCACGCAGGCGGCAACTACGATCGCACACCATGCGCCAAGGCCGCTCACGCCAAGGCCAAGCCTCTCAGCGCCTGAATCAGAAGCACGCGTTGTCGTTGCTGCCGGTGCGGAGCTGCCGGTCGGCGTGGAGCAGGTCAAGCAAAGGGAGGTGGAACTTGCGCCAAGTGACGTTTCCGGGCCAGGCTCGAACGGCTTGGTGCCAACAGCAGTGGCAGTGGCTTTGCCGATGGCTGATACCAGGTTAGCACATTTCCATTATGGCGGCTGGCCATGAGGCAGGCGGTGCCTCCTGTACCAAAGGGATAGATTGGGAGGAGACTCACCTGTCTTGGTTGCAGTTGGAGCAGTGCTTGTGCATTTACCAGTCACGGATGGCACAGCATTGGCGCCAGTGCTAATTGCAACCAGGTTGTCGCCGCAGTCGTCAGCCTGGGCAAGATGCAGGTTGCGGTTATCCTGGTCGTACACAACGTAGGCTGCGCGCAGGAAAGAGTCACCCAGAACAGGTGCATCTGCGTGGAATTGTAAGTATTGGAACCAATGGCTAGATTATAAAAGATGTGTTTTGCTTACCATCACCCGCCAATACACCAAGAACGCAGACTTCGTCGCCGGGAACCTCCCAAATGAAATCCGCGTACAAGACTTGGATGACCTTGTTGCCGAAGCCAAAGTCCACGCTGCCTTTTACGTCGGCGACAGAGCAGTCGACCACGTAGAATCCCGATGAACTGTCGTACTCGGCGCCCGGGAAGCTTTCTCCAATTGCCTCAAAGACCTCAGTCGGCAGACGCGTGAGGGTGCCGCCGCTGTCCAGGAACACCGGCTGATCACCAGTGCCCAGTGTGGTAGTAGTTCCATCAGGCAGCGTAATGGCAATCGAGTTCATGTTGATCCAGTATCTGTCGGCTCCGTCGGGTGTCTCGAGTGGGTCGAGGATCGGGCACTTCTCGAGTGATCCGATGAACTTGCCCGTGTCGAGACCACCAAAGATGACGGAACCATCCTTGTCGTCGATGTTCCTCAAGTCCAGAGTGAAGGCGCGGCTGTCAATCAGTCCTTGGGTCACCATGCTGTCGAGCACAAAGGAGTATTGTGTCTGGGCATCTGACGTCGGTGGTGAGAGACCAATAATGCCAAGAGGGATATCATAACTCTCGAATCCTACACCAAAGACCTGATTTTCGATGGTCACGGAGCCAATTGTGACCATGTCCGTGACATACTCGATTGTGACATTGCCCTTTCCATATCCCAGGATGTCGGCATAGCCGGTATCCTCAATCGTACTGCTCTCCGTATAATCAAATTGAGGAAAGGAGTTGCAATAATCAATCTGCCCTGATTCGGAACAAGTTGGGTTCACCCAGAGATCCGAAGAGCCGGTATCGAGGATGAGGGTGATTGTCTGGGCGGGCGTGCCAATGTCCACATCAATGGTGTACGAGGTGCCACCTTTCTGGTTTGTCACGGTGACATCATCTTGCCTCCTTGCAAGCGATGCAATGTCTCTCCTGGTTAAGTTGCTAGCCGGTCTCTTGGCTGTGACAGATGAGCGAACAATGCCACTGCCTGATCGAGGAGCTTTGGAGGCGAGGGCGAGCGAGGGCAGCAGAGCGCCGGCGAGAAGTGCAAGGGTCAGCATGGTCAAGATCAGGAGGAGGCCTTGGCACGCCGACTCCTGAGGCTCAAAAGAAGAGATGTCGGTGGTTCAGTCAAGCTTCTCGCGTGCAGAATGGGGGTGTCAGCCGCCTGGATATATACCAGGGACATTTGGTAGCTGGGCCTCTGCCAGGCGAGTTACCGCCACCCTCCGTTGTCTGCCAGCGCCGTGATGAGGCTCATAATGAGTAGAAAAGCCTTACCGATAGAATTGGTCAGAGGGGCTGGGTTGCTTGGCAGTCCTCTAGGGGACTGACGGTGCAAGGTTAGCCAGCGCCATCTCTTCAGCCGCTCCCACCTCCAGCGAACGAAATCCTCGCCCGTGGCAGATCGTGGGATCTGCAGGTCCACGCTGGTAGGGGGTCCCCTACCCTAGCTTCCCTAGCACGAAAAGACACCCAGCACTAGCCGGGCCAGCGAATCCTCAGCTGAGTGTGTTAGGCTCTGATTGGGGCAATAGGCACTCTCGGTGCTCTCTAATTTGCCAAGACGATGGCACAGCATGATAGCTCATGTCTACTAGCGAAAGTGGCTTGAGTTGGGGCCCCTTGGCGAGGCTCATCTCTGTGAAAGGAGCGCTCCCTTTGCGTCCATGGTAGGCACACATTAGACTAGCGTCCCCGTTGCACCTTAATTCGGGTAACCTTTATGCTTCTTTATTGAGTGACATGATTTACCAACCTTAAACTCACGATGCAGACATTCCCGCATAACATAACAAGCCCGTTTATTACCTGAGAAGCAACTACCATGCTGACTATCACCAAAGTAATCAACAAGTGTATACATCTACGGACCTGCCCGGATCCTCCAGATTACCAGCTGAACGCTGGCTCTGTGCGGCGTGGTAAGATTGTCAAGGGGCCTCCGGAACCGCCGGGGGCATCTCAGCCCCCGATGCGCGCTGGTATTTAGTGCATAGAAGGATTGAACCACCACTAGTCTTATCGAGTCGCCCCGAAATCTGTATTACTTGGGCCGCAAAGGTGCTGGTAATATTGGGCGATTACATTGTGAGACATGGCACATGGCACATGGCCCCAAGAACTGGGCTCAGTGGACGCAATTGGAGTCTAATACGCATGGAAGTCACGTCCCCGGCTCTTACTTAGGTATCAATATTACAGTGTGTCCAAATCTTTCCCCGGACCTGCCAGGTAATTCCTCATTCAATAAGCTTCAATCCTCCTCAATTGCTTGGAATAGTATTTTTAGAAACTGCGCACCCCACATGGAAGCTAAATCCCACCTCATTCTCGCCTTTCATGCCATTGCTTGATACTCCATCATTGGGCTTTCGTCTAACAGCAATAAACACAATCTCGACTTGTATGTTAATGCCAATTAATCAAACCGTCCCGATCAATGGCTACTTGGGTCCGTTATACAAAATTTTCGTTTCTGCTGTGGCATCATTTGATGTGGCCATGAGATTTAAAGACTCGGCTGCCACTCGCGCGAATCCTTAGCCCTGGGTGCAATGTCCCACGACCAGCAATATATTTTCAAGCAACTACTGAATGATTTCTTGAAAGTTGAGGACCTAGCACATGAGCAATCGATCCGCTGAGACGGATAGAATGTCACAAGATCTGGTGGCAGGTCGGGCAGGAGAATACCGCATAAACTCCTCATTACAATTGCCATGGCGTTGCTCTTGCTATGCGACAATACCAGCATAGGCAAGACCGTCCTCCTTCGCGCTGGGAGGTGAACCATATGTATAGCTACCTGGGTATGCGACGTGTTTCTAGAATCAGTATGAACTTGATTGCACTTACTATGCTAGGTTTGCCGGCATGCTGCAAGGCATGATTTATTGATTTCTTGCTCGATCGCGTTGGTCTAAATTTTCAATCGCCGGTACGCAACGCACCCAAATCGGGAGCTGATGGATACACGAATGCCACCATTACTACGACGGTGTTGCATCTCTTTAAGCCATAGTATGTCAAACAACTGCCAAGATAATGTTTCCAGTATTTCAGGCAATCGAAACAAACATAGCCAACGCTCGGAACGACCTGGAAAATGCGAGAGCCCAGGGAGACCAAGAGCCCAGCCGCTTCCCCAGGGACGTCGTTCTACTAAGTAGGTAGTCGTCCTACGTAGCGCATACGACGGAGGCTCTATCAGCCATGGCGAGATTCGAGAAAGTGACTCATTCACCCCAAAAGTCCAAGACCCAAAGACTCAAAGTCAAAAGATATCTGTTCATTCGAGAATGGTATATTAGAGTGTGCGAATAGCTGACTGAAATTCGCAAAGCTTCTCAAAGTACCTTTAGTCTCTTAGGTGCCGCTTACCTAGGTAGGCTCCCGTGCCCGCCCCTCTCCTCCCTCCCCCTCCCCCCGCCTTTTGCTTTGGTATAGGTATTGGTAGCGCTTATCTTGATGGTAATCTTGCGCTGTGACGCCCTGTGAATTCCGGCGCCTTGCGATTGACATGATCCAGTGCTGGCTCATGAATAGCGCCAATGCAGGCAGTCAGCTCGGATATCAATCAGCCCGGAGTGACCTAAAGCGGGGAAGCAGGTACAATAGAACACAGTACATGTGCAAGGCTCCAAGGTCTTGTTTCAGTATTGTCCAAGATGTTCAGATAAACAGGGTCACGATAATGAGGTCAGGCACAGACGGCCATTGATAAGGGCAGATGGCCACTATCCACTAATCGGTATGCACTACAAACCTAACCTACCTATTTCGGTAGTTTGACGAGAGACTACAAATGTAGCTATCGCGAGACACCACGATGACTTAAATACCCGGCCATCGCCCTTCCAGCCATCTTCTGCCTCATTTCCCCCGTCTCCTGCCCCAAATTGCCTCTGCTAATCAACCGGGAATCCTCTGAACAGCACCAGTTTGTTGAGTTGAAGCCCCAACCTTCAAACATCAACTCTCAGCTGCCTACCTGCCTTGGTGACCTTCCAAACAAGACGATAGAGCACACCGTTGACGCGCGAGTCGGCACCAGCATGACAGATTCGCACTCTGATGCAAGCACGAGGACTCTACGCGCAGGATGTTACTGCAAAGCCATCCGCTACGCGGTAACACTTCCAACAGCATCCCTGCCGTTGGGAGTACACCTCTGCCACTGCTCCGTCTGTCGTTACACTCACGGGACGCTGTGCATATTCCATGCTGAGCTGCCCCGGGGCGTCATACCCGAGTTCATAGCCCCTTCTTCCCGTGACAACCTCACCGGGTACACACACGCCAGCGCCAAGAGCGAGCGGCTCTTTTGCTCAACCTGCGGCTGCCATATCGGCGATGTTGGCCTAGACGGCGAAGACGAGGGCGAGTGGGTCATCGCAACCTCGTTGTTTGACGAGAATGACGAGGACCTCTTCCAGATCAAGACCCATTGCTTCACCAGGAGCGCCCCCGGCGGTGGACTCTTTGAGTGGCTACCGAGGATCGGCGACCGGGAGGTCAAGGTCTGGAACCCCGGCCCGGACTCGGTGATGTGGCCCGGTTCCAGCGCCGAGGAAGCCCCACCAAAACAGGAGTTTGATGCCAGCGGCAATGAGGTGCTTCGTGCCGAGTGCCACTGCGGCGGCGTTTCTTTCACTATCCCACGGCCGACAGTTTCAGCAGCCACGGAGGACCCGTACGTTGCTGGATTCATCTCACCTCTCGATCCAGCCAAGTGGCTGGCGTGTCTCGATGTCTGTGATGACTGTCGGCTTGTAGATGGGACGCACGTTGTGGGCTGGACATTTGTGCCCCGCGCCCAGATCCAGCCAACCATGCCCCCAGAGCTCGCCCCGTTTGGGACCATGAAGACGTTCGCTTCATCGCCAGGCGTCATGCGCGGCTTCTGCGGGGTCTGTGGTGCCACCGTCATCTTTTCCTGTGAGGGGCGGAAGCCGAGTGACGACAGCCACGTTGTCGATATTTCGGTCGGTATCCTGCGAGCCCCAGAAGGCGTGAAAGCCGAGAAGTGGTTAACATGGCGAGCCGGCCGGCTTGCGTGGGGCTCGAGTGGCGAACGGTACGATTCGCCCTTCACAACGAGCTTGGGGGATGGCTTCAAGCGCTGGGCAATGGAGCATTATGGGGAAGCCCCGACCTTTGAGATTGGGTAACACTTTGAGCTGTTCATTTGTCGCAGAGACTGATCCATGTGTTTTGTGACCTTGGCCAACCTCTCCAGCGGTATGGCAAAATTGGGAATCGTGGTCGGCTCCAGGTGGTCAGATAATATAAAAACGAAGAATATCAAGACATTATCACACTGCGCAGCAGCAAAATTAAATCTGATAAACTCACCCCCTTCTTCAATATTCATTCGTAGCGCAGAAAGCGCCTATATATGAATTGCTACCAAATCGTCCGCCAGGACTGTGTGCACATTGGACGGCTCAATGAAATTTACGGAGCGTCACGGACGAACTAAGTGATTGTCACCAGTGCGGCCGCTCATAGTTGACCAAGGGCCAAGAGTCCAACACGACCACCTCAGCCTACTTTTGCTACCAGGATCAGCCAGCCTTTTTGCGTGCGCCAAGCTAAATTAATTAGAAGGTTGCCTCTACTGAGTGGCCAGACTGTACTACAAGGAGGGTATGAGCGAGGGGTCGGCGGCCGCCAGCTCCATACGTTATGCAACGACGCTCATTAACGAACCGCGATGCTACAGTGACTCAGCAGCCTTTCCATCCTCCTCTACTGAGATATACAGGACTCGAAAGCTTCACGTTGCATTCTTGGCAGGCTGAGAGAGCTATATAACGGCCAAGTCTGCACTCTGCCGTGTAACCCCCTTGCAAATGGATGGGAAAGACACAGCACTCGTCGAAACTGTCTTTCCTGAGACCCCTAGAATTACTAATACCAGTATCGCGGGTCCCTCGTACGAGCTTGAAAACATTTTGCCTATTGAAACACTCTATAGGCTATTGTTAGTAACTTCAAGTCCTTAGCCTCACGACCATCAGAGCCTCAGGCCACATTTACCACATGACAGCTATCTTCTTTACCACGCATAGACTTTTTACTATACGCAAACATTGAAATAGCTAGCCCAAGCCAAGAGTTTATCATGGAATCTAGTCGGGGTCCTTCACCAGCCAGATTTGAAGTCGGATGGAAATCAGTAAATCACAATGATATACCCAAAACCTCCAACCGCGAGATAGCACTCACAGAGCAACCAGCAGCATCTTCGACAGCTCCAAGCAAATTATCCGTACTACAAGCGGTGCGAAAATGGCCGAAAATCTCAGCGTGGTGTCTGGCCGTGAGCACTGGGGTTATTCTTGGGGGGTTCGATGTCAGTATCATCTCCTCAGTGGCATCTCTGCCCGAATTCCAGTCAGTCCTCCGTTCCCACTATCAAATAATTTCTGGTTTTAATACAAGGTTTTCTAAGGTACAAATTTGGTCGGAAATATGACGATCGTTACATTATTCCGGCACTGTGGCTGGGTCTCTGGTAAGCAACTTCTGATGCCTATATTCTCACCTCTCAAGCCATGTTTTGAGATTCGTCAACAGATGCTCTACCTCGAAGGAGTGTTGCTATTGTGATATTCGTCGGGGAAGAGCCTCTAAATGAATTTATTCCTGTCTAGACAAATGGAGGTGCTGATCTCGTATCTCAAAGGAATGCTTCTGTTCCAATAGGTTCCATTGTAGGCTCAGTCCTGGGTGGCCTGTTGCAGGACGCCTTTGGCCGTCGATGGTCGATTGCCGCATCAAGTGTTCTCTCTGCAATCTGCGTCGCTATTGCATTTGTTTGTGATATCCCAGATACAATTATATCACGACGCGCCATTTTCCTTGCTGCAAAATCGCTTCAGGGACTTGGCAATGGCGTAATCCTTTGTACCTGTGAGACGTATATGTCAGAAATACTTCCACCGCCTTTGCGAGGACCTGGCTTGGCACTTTTCCCGATATTCATGTTAGTCGGCCAATTGATTGGGTCAATCGTCGTTCAAGCTGCACTTGAAATTGAGGGTGCCGCAAGTTATCGAACAGCATTCGCCTCACAGTGGCCATTCACTGCGTTACCGCTCCTTGTGGCGCTTTTCCTTCCCGAGAGCCCCCCGTGGCTCATCCGCCTTCAGAAGCTAGACTACGCGCGAAAGTGTCACCAGCGACTTGACTCTTCCAAGGACGAATCTGAGCGAGAGGCTGCGTTTGAGGATTTCCATCAGACTATCCTTCTTGAACAAAAGCAGTCTGCCTTTAGTGATGCGTCGTATCGACAATGTTTTCAAAGAACCGATACAAGACGAACTATAATTATCATCTTTGCGCGGTTTATACCAATGTTTTTTGGTTTACCTCTCTTCTCAACGGCCAGTTACTTTCTTCAAACCATCAGCATGTCAGCTTCCAGAAGCATCATGTTTATTCTCATTGGAGTCATCCTCGGCTTGGTATCGAATATCTCAAGTTTCTGGACGCTCACTGCCTTCGGCAGGCGAACTCTCCTGCTCGTGTCTCTGAGTATTGCTACGATTCTGTGGCTCACCATTGGCATTGCAGGCTGTTTTACGGGCGATGCAAGGACTTGGTACGTCGCCCTAGGTATGATGGCGACCCTCATCACTGTCGGTCTCGGGGCTTGGCCAGCATCTCATGTTGTTGCTGCGGAAACTTCTTCTCTCCGTCTTCGCGCAAGAGCGCAGGGAATCGGCGGCGTGGCATCCAATGTAGCAAATGGTATCTTCAGCATTTTCCTGCCATATATTTATAACCCAGACCAGGGCAATCTTGGTGCCCGCGTTGGATTCGTTTTTTCTGCGTTTTGCGCTATCTCTGTTCTCTTCACATGGCAATACATCCCAGAATTGAAAGACAGGACCAATTCAGAGATCGACAGAATGTTTGAGGAGAGGTTGCCAACAAGAGACTTCAAGAAGTGGTCTGAAAATACTCCACGCCATATCACGCCATGATTGATATGCCGGCGGAACGCCATACATGGTCAAGGTCACTCTGTAGGAGCAAGTGTTTTACGCATAGTAAAGCATATGTCGTTAATGATATAGTGTGTAAATCAGCTCTTACATATGTTCTCTTAATTGAAATGTTGTCGGTCCTATAATACTCCGTAAATTGGTACCTTGAGGAGCTTGCTCACTGCAGCGAAGATGGCCGATCACAGTCCTGCACTATACAAGTATTTTGCTTCCTGTCGGCACAAAATACGAAGAGGCAAATAGTTACTTAATGAGTAAGTATCCTGAGGCTAACTCGTAATGTCCAACATCATGCTCCTGATTGTCATTTCCAATGTACCGACTTCCTCCTTCGGTCCCGCGTCTTCTCCCGACCTTTCAGAGCCGAGACACCTGGGGTCTTTGCGATAATACCCGGCACCGAGTTGGGCTTTCGAAGCAGATCTTCCAGCCGCCACTCCCAACGTGCCTTTTCCACGACATCACCACTCTTGCGCAACTGAGCGCGCCAACCCTCAACCCAAAACCAGGCCTGACTAAATTCACCTTTGACAATCAGTGTTGCTTGGGCACTGTCTGGCGATCTTGTACGCGTGCTCTGACGATCATCGTCCATCGTCTCCACATGTTCAATATTGACCACCTCAGTTACATTCATCACGGATGCAGCTCCGGTGCTGTCCGAGTGTGGTCAATTCATGTCTCCGCTTTCAAACCCGCTCTGCAGCAGTGAAGTCTTCTCATCAGGAGACTTTATTTCACTGTAATTAGCAGAGAAATGTCGACTGCGATCGCCCTTAGTGTCAATACTTCCAACAGAGTTGCGCTTCGCAGGAATAGTATAAAGCGCTTCCGATTGTGGACGTGAGGGCATGGAAACCCCTCGTGGGCTACCTCTAGCTGATGTTGTATGCTTCGAATTGAGGTTTTGGTTTTCGAAGATATTACGCATCTTTTGGAAGACTGAGCTCGGTGATGATTTCGTGGGAGTATACCAGTCAGTGCTATCTCCCGAGTCGCGCAAGTTCTGTCCACCAAGATCATTGGGATCAGCCGCTCTAGGATCATAACTGATCGAATCATAGTCTGTGATCTGGCTATCTGTTCGTGACCTGTTCGTCGAAGCAGTGACGCCAGAGGGATAGTGGGCTTTACTTGTGCCTGGTGAGTGGGTCTGTGAAGATGGCGATGATGATAGTGTTGTCTGGCTGTAGAGTGACATGGGAATGGAATCATTTCGAATATGCCAAGGAATGTTTGTAACGTCCCGAGGTTCAAGTTCGACGCTGTGATTATCGCGAGACTGTGAGGGCGGAGGTGTATAAGGTCGTTCAGGGTTATGCCTGCTATAAGCTAAGCCTTTGCCAGCAACCAGGGACAAATCCTGCCTCGATGTCGGGAGGTCATCCTCTTCCATATTTTTTATTTGAGGATCTCGACTGCGTGTGTTCCCCCCTGAGGGCGTCTCAAGCTGAGCACAGTCTTCTTGCCCCTGGCTGAGGCCTCCAGTATTTGCTGATACACTGCTCGGAAGTGTCTCACTCCAGTTCTGGGATGATTCATTGATAACATGTTTTGATGACCACGGACTCTGCATGCTTGTAGACAATGAATCTTCTCTCTTTGAATCATATTCTTCGCTCTGCCAACTGGTGTCATGGTCATTCGCAGATAATTCACCAGTTTTGGAACCATCTTCCAACATCCGGTCAGTGTAGCTCGAGATCCCATCACTGTCATCTTCGAAGAGATAGTCCTGTCCCTGTACAGTTGCAGTGTTTAGAGGTGATAGGCCTTGATGCAGATTACTACTGATGTTCTCTGTGCTGAGCGTAATTGGGCATCCAACTACGTCGAGTCTATTCCTGGTATCGTCAGCTGAGTTCTTTGACTCATCAGACATCACCAACCCATGGCTCAGCTGCTCCCGGATTTGGGTCTCCCTGGGCTCAATATCTTCCATGGTTCCCGGGGCACGGTCTTTGTGTTCGTATTTGTTTCCAAGGGGCTCTGTAATGGACTCTGTTTGATCAGCTCTCTCGGCGGCGATGAGCTCGAAGGAGTCTTGAGCGGCATCTTCCCCGATTCCTGTGTGAACGGCTCTGTCCTCATGACTGATACCGATGCTATTGACAGAACCGGGGTCGCCTTCAACGTTTTCGTTCCTTTCAGACGGCTGCTCTTGTTGAATTCCATTAAGGTCTTCAGGAATGACACTTGTGCCACGAAAGGACTGGTCACGATCTAAGCAGTCCTCAACTCCGTCCCGAGATTTAGGCTGCACCTCAGTTTGAAGCGTCGAGCTTGTTGTCGGACTTTGGACTTCAAGTCCACCATTTTCGCCCTTTCGCTCGCAATTATTACCTTGGTCATTGGTCTTCATTAATGGAACATTCCCTTCCTCATTGTCTGTACCACTCCCTGTAAGCCCATCTTCATTCTGTGATTGCGCATGATCAAATGTTTCCACCGAATCTTCCGCTTCAACGACTTCAATTCCATGTAGCTGCTTATCACAGACTTCATTTTCATTAGTCACCATCGCCGGTTCATTTGTGCCTAGGGGTCTTGGGCTGGCACTTTTTGTGGCTTGAGTTTGCTTATCAGGGTTATCGGTCAAGGCTTGTATCTGTTCAACCTGAGCAATCATCCCGCCGTGGTTGTAGGAGTGTCCTTGTACAGTTTCCAAAGTCTTGAATGGTGCGTGCTGACTTATTAGCACTGCGTCATCACCAGGACTAGGAGTTTGGCGAGAGTCGAGGCTCAAGAGTCCAGTTGAATAGGGGGAGTCGATGTTCTCCGCTGGTGTGTTTGGTATGAGATATGGGCTTTTGGCGCCCTTGGGCAATGAGCCCCTTTTATCCGCCAAGTCGACCTCGATTTGCGGCGACGTCGGAGGCGTCGTGCCTACTAGGCCCATACTGGTACGAGCAGGCTGCTCAGCAAATGAGGAAGATTGATCGATGAAGTTATTGGACGTGTTGAGGCCGGTGCCTGGAGAATCCTGAAGTGGAAATTCAGTTGATTCTGGGTCTATACCATGGGTTATTGTGCCTGGGATGGGCTGGTGTCCATTCATTTCAAGGTGAGGAAAGTCAGATCCTTCTTGCTCTTCAGACCGTGGGGAAAGTTGGATCACCTCTGGCCCTGTCGCAAAGTGTCCGATACCAATTTGCGATGGCTGAGACGACACGCTTGAATCTCGATTAGATGAACTGGAAGTGTTGCTCCTGTGAGCATAAAAAACCCGTGCATCAACGTCACTCGGACCAAGTGTTTCCTCATGTACAGTCCCCGGGCCACATGCTTGCGAATCAACCGCAACACCAATAGTCGACGAAACATTTCCTGAGATAGTCTCATGATCTGCCACCGCTATATCGGGTTGTTGTATTTCGTCATGTCCTGGGCTTCGTGGCGTCGATGATGCCCGCGTCTGAGATGTGACTTCCGCTGGTGACTTCGCCGGCTCGTCTGCCAAGTTGCTGCTGGGAACTCCTTTCTCTAGCTTTTGGCCTTCCTCTATCTCCTCATCACATCCTACTGACATGGCGCTTTGGAATCTTGAGGAATCATTGCCCCTACCCGGAATGCTAGTGTCTGACCGGAAAACAGCAGAAAATTCTGACTCTTGTGGCCGTCCTTGGTCGGCGGAGATGTGATGGGGCTCTTCATAGACAGGAGATGTTCTTTCATTTCCGTCCTGATGATCTAGCGCCTGAATGGACAGCCCTGCAACTACTGGCTCGTTTGGCTTGGCAGGAATGTCTGCGATCAAAGCCCGCCGTTGTATGTCCTTTGCTTCCAACGTATCAATCAAACGATCCACTTTTTTTTCATACAATGGTCCCGATGTATTAGACTCGCATTTTACCTTTGTAAATAATGGCGCGTCTTGGAGATAACTATGAGGGTTAACTCTTATTCCTTCACATATTTGCGCTTCAGGCCTTGGGGCTTGAGCGGTGACTGTGCTACATGCCTTGCCCACTGGCTCGCCAGGAAGTGGCATGTTGAGATCGTTCATGTTATGGAGGGGTTCGTTGTCCATAAGCACCTTGGCAGGGCTCAGAGGGCTATCACTAGGCCGTTCTTTAGCCTTTGTCGAGATAAGTGTTTGTGTCTTACTTGCTGTGGCGGCGGCGGTAGCGACAACACTTGACTGCGTTCTAGCTCTACGGCGCGGAGCAGGAGGAAATGGTGTCGACAAATGTTCGTCGATTAAGCGGTTGATCTCCTGTGAGTAGGGTCAATGTCTGGTAAACCGCTTTGTGGCTTGTTGCAGCACGTTCACGAACCTTTCGCTTCCCTTCGAGCTCTGTTAATATTTTACGGCCCTCTTCAAGTTTTAGGCGTGCTTCTTCCTCGACATGGTCCATCATCCCGTCGGTCTTATCATCAATGCGTTTCCTCTCTTCTTCCAGCAAACGCTGCCTAGCACTGTCCTCCACCTCGTTTTTACCAGCAAGTTCTTCATCTTCTTTCCGCCGCTTAGCCTCGCGTTCCTCGTCTTCCTTGCGTCTTCTCTCAGCAATTGCATCACGCTCATCCTGACGCTTACGAGTGAGGACATCAGCTTCTGACTGAAAAGATGAGAGTAGTGCCGCAATATTGGAGGCTCGTTCATGCTCAAGGCCATCGAGAATAACATCGTGTTCAGCATTGTTGATATCTGCGATGGTTGCCTGGATGGTCGAGAGTGTCTCGTGCATCTGTTGCACGAGGGCGGAAACGTCAACCATCGCAACTTGTTTCTAAAAACCTCCCGATTTTTCGTGCTTGTGAGGAAGTACAGGGTGAGTCCCAAACACTGAAATCGACAAAAAATGGCAGCCAACCATGCGATTTGACTACTTTACAACAGATCAGAATACAAGGAGGGGTCTGGAGGGATGAGAGCCTAGGAAATCATAGAAAATTAAACAACCTTGCCAATGACAGGAGTCGTGAGAGCGGGTGGACTGCATGCGAAGAACCGTGATACACACCGTGGTTGGCCTGTCTGATGAGCCTCCTTTCATGCAATCCAGGTTGTTAGTCAGGGATCAAAGACGATCACGGCATGCATAACCGCGAACTCTGTCACTTATTTGCCCTATAAAACACGAACCATAGACAGGTCACACTCAATCATGATCACAGAGAAATGCCGAGGCAGAACCATGAGACAATCAGTCTCCTTCCTGCCACCAAGTATGGAGCATCTCGAACCACGGCTCACAACCAGACATGGGTTCTTGCGAGGGTAGAGAATCATTGAGTCCAAAGCCTTCGAAGCGAGAAATGTCCACAAAGACGATACTTTGTGTTCTATTGGATAGAATGGAGGCGCCGAAAGGTACAGGGCAACTGGAGCGGCATTCAGGGCCCAGTTTTAATGCATGAAATGGAACGAACTGAGACTTCAAAGTGGCGTTTCAAATGTTACTGGGTCCAATGCAGCCATGGTATTGCATGAGCTGCATCAGCAAGCGGGATATTCATAAGTTTGATATGTTAATATGCGGATGTGGGACGTCAAGGCCGCCTTTACTTATGACATGCCTCCAAAATGAATGGAAGAAAAGAGTTTTGTAGAAATATAGCGTGTGTTGCTGTCATTGTTGTTAGATTGTCAGGGACCTCGGTTCTTATTGCTGTGGAAGTTTGTCCTGTCAGAATAGACTACAAGTGATTACTAGGCATAAAAAGAGGCTTATTGATTGAGAACATTTTTCCTGTGTTAAATTGGTTATTATAGAGAGAGACAATAGTATTATATCTTCTTGTGTATTTTATAGTGTATTGTATAGAACGATCTGAGTCAAATCCGATCAAAGAATCTAGTACTTGATATTTTCTAGATTTCTATCAGCTATAAAGTAATTAAAATCGATCAAGGCTATGAACAATATCCGGGTTAGAGTTGTCTACGGTGGTTGTGGCCAGAAAGACAATCATCGCATTGACACACCAGTGTCCGAGTCTAACCATACTAGATTATATGTACTTGAATATCTTTCAAAAAAGGCAAACTGGACGCTCTGAGGTGATGGTGACAAGCTCTCACAGCACTGTCAAAAGAGAAAACTCGAGTTACAAGGAGGAACGCTGAGAGTCGCCATCATCTAGTGACACATGCTTGAAGAAATCTTGCGGCCCGTAGCGATCAGCATGTGGCCCGCAAATACAGCTCAACCGCTTCCTTCTTCTGATCTGGCAGATAAGACTCTATATCCGCTTCGTAGTCGTTCCCTTGCCAGCTCTCGCGCTTCGCCGTCTGTACGACTCGCGGTAGTTGACACGTTCGAAGAAGCCCAGCCCGATGACGGCGAGTCCCACCACCAGCCAGACACCGGTGACGACGAGGCCCACGGGGAAGATAAGGAACTGCACGCCAGGAAGCACAAAAGCTACGGTGCCATTTTGTAGTTGGGAAACGATGGCATCGACAGCAGCTTGAGCCTTAGCGGTATCAGACAAGAAGACCTCTTGCGAGAAAACACCAGCCACGAAGACAGCTTCGTTGGAAGACACGTTTGTGCTCACGGACTGGCCAGCCGAGTTGACGCCAGACAGTGTGATGGTAGGCATGACGAGTGCTTGAAGCTCAGCCCTGGAAGAGGTCACGTTAGCTCGACAATCCATGGAGTAGTCGGTGGTGGATTTGATGCCGAGGGTGCTGCTGGCAGCCGCAGCAGGCGCAACTCACATGGTCATGGACTGGGACATTCTGTCCTTGTCAATCTCTCCAACAAATAGATAAGTTTGCAGCAGCTTGAGATTTTGGTTTGTTGTAGTACTCGCTTGTCGCTTGACTGGAGTAATCACCTTCTTTGCTGCGGTGTTCGCTGATACAGGGCTAACGCTGGCGCCATGATAGGCGAGGCCGACCTGAATGTTCTGCGGAGGGATACCGGTGAACTGGTCCGTAGGCTCGGACAGCCGGTACAGCCTCAGATCGGCCTCAAAGGTTCCGGTAGCATTGTTGAGGGCGGGCAGGTTATAGCAAACGCAGGTGCCGGAGGGGTTGGAAGCCTGGGGCAGCGCGGATAAGGCGTTGTTGCATGCGGTGGTCGCCTCCTCGTCCCACGCGGTCATGTTGATGGTGCCGTCCTGGTTAAGAACAACATTGGAGGACTGGCGGGCAAAGATGACCCGGGTGTCTGCTGCCTCCATCTTCTGTCGCTCAACGGCAACGGGCGAGCGGCCAGCGAGGGCCATGTCTGCCCCGAAATCCCCTACACTGGCGTGTGCTCTGCCGAGGAGCAGGGACGCGGCAGCGGCGGTAGCGATTGTGGTGGAATGCCAGAGCATCTTGATTTTCTTGGTTGTCCTGCCTGCCTGGTGGTCTCTTTTACAGCAAATGGGTGGACGAGGGTTCGGATTGTCGAGACTATTTCTTTCACTACGGCCTGGCGAGAATTGTCCGGCCGGCGGTTCAGATTGTCAGGCGCACTCAGAAACACACAAGGTATATCGTCGAATTGAGCGGCTTCGTATGTGCGAAAGAAGAATATAGGGGGACCTGCCCGGCGACTGGCTGGAGACGGTGATCGGGCGGCGCTGATGGAGGAGGCTCCGTATCGCAAGCCTACTAAGCGACACCGCGCGATTGCGTTGCGATGCTCAACGAGTCGAGTCGAGTCAGGTCGGGTCACCAACGTAGAACGGATGGCGAATCGGTGGAAGAATAGATGGGTCAAGCAAAGAAAGCGAAATCGAGAAATGAACGTGGATGTGGAATGAATTGAGGAGATTGACGAGCAATGGCGATCAAAACCCCTATGCAATCAATGCAATCAACGCTGTCAATGTAAATGCAGGACAAGCGATAGCAATCGGACCATAGAAAATTAAAAATAAATCTAGGCGGCGATAAGGTGCGTGAAACAAGGCAGACCCAGCAGCAGCATCAACGACAGAGGAAGAGAAAGAGAGACTGAGGTAAAGAGAGTCAGTCAGTCGATGGATACAATTCAGTCACGAAAGGGGAAGAGTCGCAGATGGTGTTTCATGTGCTTCTCATGCCCCTGTCCAGGCACCTCCCCACCTGATTGATGTTCTAAGTACTGTACCTGTTTCCGCCCCCCCAACGACAGTCTGGCTACCTTCTATCGCGTAGAAGTTGACATTCGAATTCTTCAGGATTACTTTCTTCGAAGCTCGTCTATCCATCAACTTATACGCGATATAGATTTCAGCTACTGAAATAACTGCAACAAATTCATTACTGAATCCTGTCGAAAAAGCAATCAATTACCTATGAGAATGGGTCAGTCGGTCATTGTGTCAGACCAGCGTCTCAGGTTTCAGATTGTGTGGGGCGTGGTGCGATGGACCTTACCATGGCACGGCTAGGTGTTGGAGGATCAGAACTCCAACAAACGAGAAATTTCAAGTAAGTAATACATCAATGATTTCCAGATTGCCAACTCCAAGAGGCGTTTCGAAATCATCGAGAAATAACTTCCGCAACAGTAGGGTACGCGCAAGTCTCTATCCGTGGGCCAGCACGTTTTCTGTGTCATTGCCCAGTGTGCGTGTATTACTTGCTACGCCTACCGTCGACTGCAAGTCTGCTAGTACCATCGTGCCAATGAGTTATTTAAATTGTGCAGAAGTGATAAAGGCTGGGAAGCATTGGCACATCAGATCTCAGGAGGTCTCTGAGACTTGTCGCAGATGATGTCACATGAAATGTATGAGTGCAACTCGCTGTCACACTGCAACTTTGACAGCGCTCAAGGCGCTGCACTGATCGTGCCGAGAACATCGTTCCTGTAGGGTTGCTTCACTTGCAGCGTGTTTCAGCCACGCCAAGGTGGTCCAACTCAATGAAGTGTTACCATCGGGTTAATCGCGCGGTAGCCTCCCGCATTCTAGTCCATCTGCTCAAATCACAGTGTCCGGATGCGTGGAAGTTAACATTGACTATCGTATATGTTTTGGCCTACAAAACCTACCATAAGCGCACATATAAGTTCTATAAACAGCTCACTCCAACTCAACGGCTATCCGTTCCCAGTTGGGCTTTCACGACAGGCATTCATAACGACGCCTCCTGGTTCATTTGATCCATTTGATACTCGGTTATATATAAAAACCACACGATGACTGTTTTGAGAGGACTGGAAATATTTATCTTGATAGTTATCTACAGTGCCTCGTAAGGATAATTAACTATAGTCTTCTAATTGTCCTAACTCTTCAAACTCACTCTCTTGATAATGGTGCGGTCCTAGGCGTAAGCCTCAGACTCAATTACTGAGGTTGTGTCTACCAGACCAGGGATCATAGCCAGAGAATCTCAATGCCATTGTATTGGTTCGAGAAGAACAAACAATTGCAGCTACCGATATAGGCTTTTGTCCAGTCATTTCTAAGATCCAAGTGTCACATATTCGAATGCTATCTAGGAGTTTTATATATCAATGCTTGCACGTTGAACAATTCCCCCAGTAGAAGCTCTCAACGCAAATATTGGGTCTTCTGGCACCTGGATAAGTAATTTGCAGGACCAAACTGAAGACAGAATCACGCGTCGATGATTTTTCATAATACCGTGCAGTGGGTTGGTTCACATCGTTGTCATTCAGAGCAGAATCATTGCTCGCGGTTGTGCTTTTCCGTATCAAGTGGGGAACGAGCCCTAACTCCCCAAACTACGGCATGATGGCATGTGCTCAAAACCAACCCCATGGGGATCAAATGCGGGGATAAGCTTATCAATATTGCAGATCGTTTGTCTTAACGGATGTCCGGACATTTAGGATGCTCGGAAACCCGGGGGCTTTTTGGCCAGACACACGCATATGCAGACAGGGACTCACGGAACCAGCACATGAAGCTTTTAAAAAACGCAATGCTCGCCGTTGACAGGGCTCGTACGTGAATACTCATAACTACAATTCCACTTGGCTTTCACAGGCTTAGCAATAATGGATCAGGCATGGACAAAGAGTCTGGTTGAAAGTTCCACACGGGCAGGCATTCTCCTTTCTTTGGGAGCTATCGCCTATTTTTTGGTTATTTCAACGTATCGACTATGGTTCCATCCTTTAGCAAAATTTCCAGGACCAATTCCGAACCGCATTTCTTGGGTGAGTTGAGTCGTCTTCCTTGTGCCAGAGATTGGCCAACATTCGTAGCTTCCTGGCGTGATCTGGACACTTCAGGGACGCATGCCCATGCAAACGCGCAGGTTGCATGACAAGTTTGGCCCTGTAGTGCGCCTCTCGCCCAACGAATTAGCTTTCAACACAGTCCAGGCTTTCCAGGATATTTACGGGCACAAGCCTGGCCGACTGGACCTCGAGAAAGATCCCATCCATGTTGGATCTGTTGATCCCGTGCCCGGCGTCTCTACAATCTCTATGGCGGACCGCGACAATCAGTGAGTTGGCTCCTAAACTTCGTAACTGCATTCAAACTATGTTGGAAATCTTTAAGGAAGCCATTTCCCTGGCCAAGAATTTGTCCTTCGAAGACAAGATAATAAGTCTTGGATCCCTTCTTTTTGCCTCCATATTAGGCGTTCTTGACCCGACGTGGCTAACACTCTGAAAATAGCGCACGACAACGAAAGGCACTCTCCCACGGCTTCTCCAAGTAAGCAACCCTTGAAGTTCATCTCTACCCAACATGACCATATTGCAAGAAATAAAGGCACGGTCTATGAATGGAACCTTACCTCAGCGACATGTCTAGGCAGTCATTTTTTGGCGCTTTCGGTACCATTGAACCGCAATCGCTGACTTCAAATAACGTTAGAAAAGCACTTTGGGAGCAGGAAGGCATCGTCCAGTCTTTCGTGGACATGTTTATAGACAAACTACATGAGTATGCCTCGACTAGTGAAGTATTCGATATTGTACGATGGTACAATTTTCTCACCTTTGACATCATTGGCGATCTAAGCTTCGGAGAATCTTTTGGATGCTTACAGAATGGGGATTTCCATTTTTGGATCACCCTGATATTCAATGCTGTCAAAGCCGGGGCGATCGAACAAGCCAGCAGACGATTTGCCACCCCTGGTAGTTGGCTACAGAAGAAAATTCAAGCGATATGTCAGGGCCAACTAAGCAAGCAACGAGCGGATCATTTGTCTTACAGTAGAGAGAAGGTTATGCGGTAGGATCTAACTTGTGATTACATTTCAGTGTCGAACACTGATGGACAATAGGCGATTGGGTGATTCTAAAAGTGACCGAAAGGATTTCTTTTACTACATCTTGAAACAGGGCGAACACTACGATCTATCACAGGACGAGGTCATAGTAAATGCCGCACTCTTCATGTGCGAATTCTCCATGCCTTTAGTGTGTTTGTGTCTAATATCGGATAGTGTTGCGGGAAGTGAGACCACGGCAAGCGCACTTTCTGCACTGACTAATTTCCTACTTCGCCATCCTCATTGTTATACCAAGCTAAAAAACGAAGTCCGCTCTAAATTCAATTCCGAAGAAGAGATTACTCTTTCTGCCATGGAAGATCTGCCATATATGAACGCCTGCCTGGAGGAGACCATGCGCATGTTCCCGCCTGCCCCGATAGGCTTTCTGAGAACTATACAAGAACAAGGCGACGTGATTGATGGGCACAAACTTCCGGGAGGCGTGAGTAATGAGATATGTTCAACTTATGGTCATGTCAGGAAAGCTAATATCTGGGAGACGGCCGTGTCGGTCAGCACCTGGTGCGCAAGTCACAGCAGCTACAATTTTAAAGACCCAGATAACTTTGTTCCGGAACGCTGGCTGGGTGATCCTCAGTACCATTCCGACAAGAAGTTAGCAAGTCGGCCGTTTTCATTAGGACCTCGGGGATGCATTGGTAAAGAGTACGTTCCCTCAGACTGCTGATTGCGAGAGTCTCCTTTGATAATGTAATAGTCTCTCATATGTGGAACAACGGTTGACTATTGCCCGCATGGTATGGAACTTCGACCTAGTCAACTCCGACGATGCACACGAGTGGACAACAGAAGGCAACATGAAGAACAGTGAGCAACTTTTGGAGTTCACCTCTTAGCAATTTTTGGAATCAAGGAGACATAGACACCGTCCCAATGTGAACGGTTACTCCCAAGACACCTCTTTTCAAGACTTTCCCTGCTCTATCGCTGTCCTTATTAGGCAATGACTGACTGCAGATATTGTAGTGAAAGCGTTCAGCACATGGCAGAAGCCAGGCCTAAATGTAATTATCACGGACCGCCGGATGCCTGGTAGCAAGTATTGGTCGAAAGAGCAGAATTTGGCACACTAAATACGGGTATAATATACTGGTGAAGTGTCTAATTGTCCCTTTGA